AACATTTAATTTCCATTTCTTTATACTAACTTGATGAATAATTCATTTTAAGTAATAGATTAGTGTCCCAAAAATGTTTATACACTAGACACATGTACTTGAGGCATAACTTTTGCTATTTTCTTAATTTTAAATTGAAACGTATTTAGCTACCTATTTGAAGTACACTTCAATAGTTTTATATATGCACAGAATGTGAAATGCTAATTGATGTAATTAGCATTTTCATCTCATTGCTTTTTGGTTCCATGTATTGGGAACCTTAGGAGTATCAAAATTTGTGTTGGGCTGTTACTCAAATTATTATATGAAATAAACACCTATACTAACAGGTTTATTTCCCCACTTTTCACAATAGCTAAGATATGAAATCAACCAAGATCATTAACAAGTAACTGGTTAAGGAACCAGAATTTTTATTGAATTACTTTACTATTCAAAAGGTGTTTCAGAGTCCTTTAAGAAAAATATTTGCCGAGTTCTTAAAATTTTACCTTGGTAGGTTTTCAACTATTGTCTCCCCATAGTTAATGACTGAGTAGCATCTTTAAACATATCTGTGTATGTTTATACATGTATGTATATGTATATATATATGAGAATTCTTCTGTTTAAGGAAAATTAAATGTCCATAATTTTTTGTAGTACAAGTCTACAAAGGAACACAGTGAAATCAGTGAATAGACATTAAAATAAAATGTAATTATGGTAATTTCCCTGTGTTATTAAATATTATTCTTTTTAATATTTTAAACATTTAAAATGTGAAAAGTAAGTTGTTCATACAAAAATAGGAACAGGTCACATCTGGCTTGGGGATCTTGATTTGTGGATCGTTATTCTCCTGGGCTTGTCCAACCTTTTGCCATGTGACAAGACATTGTCACCTACAAAATTTATGTTTTAGAACTGTAAAATCCAGCCAGTCCTGATGAGGTCTGATAGACTAGGGTCAGATGGAAGGGGAGGAGGACCTCCCCTATCATTGGACTGGGGGAGGGACATAGGAAAAGAAGAGGCATGGAGGGTGAGATTAGGAGGGGTTAGGGAGGTAGCTACAGCTGGGATACAAAGTCAATAAACTGTAATTAATAAAATATAATAAAATTTAAAAAATCACAAAACAATATGATAATGTCCAACCTCAGTTTTTGATTTTGTGTTGGGACATTTTCCAACTTCCTGTGGTCTGTGGGCCATGAGTTGGGCATGGCTATGAGGAGCCAAAAACCTGCTCCAGGGACAGATGTCATTGGACCTTTAAACTTCCTAGGATCCCAGGTAACCTTTTGTGTAACATGAGTTTTTCAGTAGACAGTTCCTGCAGCTTTTAGTTGTCTCTCGGAGAATCCCAGATGAAAAACATTAGAAGCCATATTTCTGAAGACTTTCCCCCAGCTTTTAGGAAGTATTTCTTGAATACATGGTAGTTTCTAGACTCTGTGCAAGTGTCCCAGGAGTCTTAGAATTTTGTATGATAGGAGAAACGCTACTATTCACTGAGGACACATAACTGCCCAGAGATCTTGTTTCTTAAAGTCTTTGCCTTCACTATTCATGCTTTGCCAGAGGCAGAAGATAAAAATACAAACCTCTAGTTCTGAGAGAAAGCATCTTCTCATATTATCAAATATTAGGAGATAATTTCAGCTTTAAACATCATTAGGAAATAATTTCAGCTTTAAACATCAGAGGCAATTGAAATGTCTACACTTCCAGGCTATCCAGAGAAATAGGATTCCATGTATTAAAAACATTTTCTTTAGTACTGGGGGATGTGGTTGAGTGGTAAAGTGTGCATAGCATGTGTAAAGCCATGGGTTTTATTCCTAGCATACATACATACATACAAACCTCCTAACCTCTTCCTCAAAATAAACAATATCTTACAGATGGGTTTATGTTAGTTCGATGGACATGAAGGCTGTTAAATACATAGAAGCAGGATTAAGTTACTTAGTTTATTGCAACTGAATGCACAAGCTTATAGGATGCATGACTTAACCTGTGGCTGTTAGTCAGAGCGAAGCCATTGAATGTTCAGATTCATAAAATACAGTAGTTAGCCTGGGGCAGAGGTGGTGTTGAGAAACTAGAAATGCTTATTTGAAAAGAAATAAGCAGTTCAAGAGTTCCTGCCTCTGTTCCAGGGTTACAACTGGAAGAACATGCTTCTCAATAAAGTGTTAGAGAATGAAATTTATACCCAAAGAGGAAATGGCCATAAAAGCTGCAACACTAATTTTAAAATCTAATGACAACCTAATATAGTTTATAGCTAAATCTTTAAAAACAACTAAACATCTCCAGGAATTATTTTACCTTTTTAGATAGGCTAAGTATTTGCAGATTTTTTTCGTACTCTTAGAAGAAATAACATACCATAAGTAGATTTAAATAGTTTTAAAATGGAAGAAGTTAAAAAAAATTCCCTGGCAAAAAGAAAAAAAAAATAGAGAGGTTAGAACCACAAAAGAAAGCCTTGTTTATGTAAACATTAGGTTTAACTTTTAATTGAACATTAATTAAAGAACTTATTTTTTAGTCTGGAAATCCAGCCACCCCTCAGTCTTTGTTTAATAGATTCTATTGTAATGTCTGTTTTTCAGTTTTAGAAAAATCAAAATTTAAAAAAAAGTATCTACCATTGGAAGTGACTTCAGTGAGAAATTTCTATAAAAGTCTGAGAGAAAACAAATATATGTAAACAAGACTACTGTGTGGTTCAAATGTGGAGTTTTCACTTTCAAAGTTTCTAGCTGATTTTGAAATGAGTATGAATCATTGAATTAGTAAGACCTGACTTGTCAGGTCTAATTCTTGAAGATGTTGAGAACTTTGATAGGTTCCTGAGAACTGTTCCATCACAAGACTTAGCTGGGCTTGGTCAGCCCAAGGCTATCTGTCCTCACCTCAAACCTGAGAGCCCCTCCTCAGACTGCCTAAACATCTTTCTTGGCATCTAGTATGGTCCCTTCATTCTGAGAGTGCCTTCTCTGTTACCCCAGTGAGTCCAGTTTCTTTGAGCTAGATTCTTTCTTCCTAACAGAGTAGTCAGCTCATTTAATAAATGTGTCTAAGGTAGAATGCTAAACCAGGAGCATTTCCATTTCTGCAAACTTGGACTTTGGGGCTTCTTCAGGCAGCTGTACTAGTGGAAATTTGAAGCATGGAGAGTGAGGTAGGGATTATATATATTGCCCCTGCCAGACTCCACAGATTCCTATTCTCCCTGCATTTAGAGGAAGCCCCTTGAATGCAATTTTGCAAGTATGGGTGAAGCTTAATTTCTTCCAGTTGAAAGAAAGCAAAAGAATGCAAGAAAGAACACATGCACTTTGTAAAACACAGTGAGATACCACCAGCTATTCACTTACTAAATTACTATTAGAAATATATAAGTAACATATAGTATTCATTCATTAAAATTTATTTTTATATGTATCTTCAATTGTATCTACAAGTCGTTCTATAAGGATTCATGACTCTAGGGAGGGCAAGAACACTCTCAATGAACTGATAACCATATTGAAAATGAAAGGCCTGAAGATACCTGATAAAACAGGGTCAGATGAAAGGGGAGGAGGTCCTCCCCAATCAGTGGACTTGGAAAGGGGCAGGGAGGAGAGGAGGGAGGGAGGGTGGGATTGGGAGAGAATGAAAGAGCAGGATACAGCTAGGATACAGAGTTAATAAAATGTAACTAATAATAAAAAAATTAAAATTAAATTTAAAAAAAGAATAAGAAAAACTCATTGTCATTGGGGTGACAGGAGCCACAAGAACACATTGACCAGATTGGTAATCTTGTATAATGGAAAAGTAAATAAATATTCTTGCTTCATAAAAAAAAAAGAGAAAAAAAGAAAAGAAAAGATGCACACATGTGCCATGAACTGGGAAACATCACAGTAAAGTGATCCTAAAGGTAATACACATGACCAACCTCTATGATAACAAAAATTTTAAAGAGATACAAACGAGCAAAACTCTTTATATTTCTAAGGATTTTATTTACTAGTTATACTCTAAATTGTGAACCATATAATCCTGTTATCTTATCTCTTCTGCCCTAACAGGGATCCTTGTAGCATTTCTAGGGCCTCCTTTTAAACTATGAGTATCATCTGGCCCCTAGATAAAGACAAGACTGGGCAAATCACATTCGTTTCTGAAACGGGACCTGCAGTTAAAAAGAAAATAGTACAGTAAAATAACAGTGCTTTCCTCATTTTTAGATGGATAGTAAATTGTTAAAGCATTCACGTTTTGTAAATTACCCTTTTCATTTTCAAGTCTTACATAAATAGCAGTGGGCTGAGAAAAGAAAGAAGTTCAGGGCACTGTTGGGTGATTGGGACATGTGGCAGGACAGGCAACCTTAGAGACAAGAGTTCCAGCTGAGATGAGGAAGGAAGAGGTGGGAGAAAAGGGGTTTTCAGGAGTACACCAAGTCTACATTTAAAGACATGGCTATGTAACGAAACTAGGAAAAAAATATGTGTCTATATACTGTCGTTCATTGATGAAATTGTGACTTTTTCAAAAATCAGATTATCTCTAAAGTTATTTTAAAAGAACCTCCTATATGGGAAATAGGAAAAGACAAAAAGAAATTAAGAAACTGGTAATTATGTTTAGAACACACACACACACACACACACACACATATATATATATATATATATATATATTTCATGTAACAACAATTAGTGAAAAAAGGACATAAAGATTAAAGAGAGTAAGAAGGGGATATATGGGAGAATTTGGAGAGGGGAAATAGAATGGAGAAATTGTATAATGATATAAGATATAAGTACACATGATTTAATATAATTACATAATAAATATAAAACGGTAAAATTATGTAATTTTAAAAATAAAAGAAAAACAGAAATAGTGACAAATTATCTTAGGAAATGCTATAATTCCTTTGTGTAATAAATGGTAAGAAGGATATGTTTAGCTCTGATGCCTCATTTTCTCTCTTTTGAACACAGGCATCTTTTCCTATGAATCCATCAGTTGCACCTAATCCTGCCATGCCTTTCAATCCTTACATACCTCATCCTGGGATGGGCATGGTTCCTGCTGAGCTTGTACCAAATGCTCCAGTTCTGATTTCTGGAAACCCACCTCTTGCGTTGCCAGGAATTCCTCTTCCAAAACCGACTCGTACAGATAGACTGGAGGTATGTGTGAAGACATATATAAATGCTTGTAGAATGAATATTAACTCTATGCATAATGTACCATTTTCAGAGCCTAATTTGTTAAATGTTTTAAATAAGTATCTCCAAGTACTTTTTTAGCATAAGGAGTCTGAGAAAGAACGTTAAACATTTTTTTTAACTTCAGTTAGACCTTGATCTGAAAAGAATGAATTTCTGTGAAGTAGGTCAATGTTTCAAATATACCCAAAACTGAACCATTTCATAGGAAGTCTGAGTGAGAATGTTCTCTCTACCTCTGCTTTCTAGAATGGTAAACTGAAAAAAAAAATGCACCTACAATTCTACAATTATGGAATGTAACGCTAAATGAATGTAGGTTGTAATCTAAGGGAAATTTCAAATAGCCTTTGATTTACTGGCATCCTTTAGTTTTTCTTTAATTGAAATTCTTTATACACTAAAATAGAAAATTGGATCCACTGGCAACCAATTAAATAACTGGTCATGTATTATAATGGAATCTGAATATGCACATGACTTAATGTGCTTTACAAGTTGACTGTGTGAAACTACCAGTGCATTGCCATGTGATGAACACCCCAGGCCTTAAAGAAATAATTATACTTGAGGCTATACGTTAACTTCAGGATTCAAACACATTCTTCTGTAATCCTTTAAAGTCCTTCTATGTTTGTGTAAGGCAAATAGACAGTCTTTGTAGAAAATGTGCTTTTCCTTCACTTGGAATAGAAATTGTGTTCTTTATTTTAAGGTGAATATTGCTTTGTATGACCCTTCATCTTTTATGGATAGTTCCTACATAAGTGACAAGATGTGCCAGTGACTCTCATATCTTCTAGGAAGGTAAATAAAAACCTTCCTGTCATCACTGGAAAATGTATGTTTTTGTGTTTTTCTTTTTAAGGTTTGCCGTGAATTTCAGCGTGGAAATTGTACCCGTGGAGAGAGTGAGTGCCGCTATGCTCACCCTACGGATGTTTCCATGATTGAAGTCACTAATAATACCGTGACAATCTGCATGGATTACATGAAAGGCCGATGCGTCCGGGAGAAATGCAAGTACTTTCATCCTCCTCTACACTTGCAAGCCAAACTCAAGGCAGCTCATTACCAGATGAACCATTCGGCTGCCTCTGCAATGGTAAGAGCAGGTTGGAACCGTGGGCTTTTTGCTTGTGCGTAAATGATTCATGTAAGCCCACTTTGTGTAATATTCTGTATACATGAAAGACTGGCTACTCACGAGTGCATCTTAATAAAAATAACCAAAGTTATATGCTAGAAAAGAGAGAACAAATTTATTCTACTTTATATCCTAAGACTTTCTAAAGATAATTATTTAAAAGCTTTATTAATGATTTCAACCTACTGTTCTCTTTCTACCAATCTTAGAAAACGGAAAATTACGTGATTTAAACAGTAAATGATTTTGAGTGCCTCTTATACTCTGACTAGTGTGAATATTCAAAAATGGCAGAGTTGCCTCTTTATTCCATGAGTCACTTTTATGGGCACTTTGCCACTCACATCCTTAATGCCTTTTGAAAACACAACACTTGAAAGATGGGTTATTAAGTAGCTTCTAATTTCATAAAGGTCAAAAATTACCTTTCCTGTCTGGTGGCATAGTGCAGGCAGAGGGAAAGATCAAGGCAGAAGCATGCCATAGCTTCAGGGAGATTTTGAAATGACTGAGAGAAAAAGGCCTTTCTTTTGAGTTAACCTAACAGTCAGTTATGGGGAAAAGTTAGTTCTAATTGATAACACTAAAAAGTAGCAAGTAGAAAAAGTAATTGTGTGACACTGTAGTGTGAGAAATCAAAGTTATATGCTCAAGGGTTTCACAGCTATGAATTATTTTGATCTGTTGCTTGCCATGCTCTTTGCTTGTTTGATTTTTGCTGCCAAGGATCTTCACTCATATTCTCAGTGAGGGACAAAACCGAATAAACTTTAGCTTACCCATGTAACCCCAAAGTCCACAATCAGTGTGAACCAAATTATATGTGGATGCATTCTTTAATTTGAATGATAGAAACTGACCACTACATCTGGCTTACTGTTATGAATCTTAATATAAATACCTGTTTTCCAGGGGTCTTAGACAACTCCTGTGAAGGGTCATTCAGCCCTCAAAGGTTAGAACCACAGATTTGGAGGGTTTTATTTATTCCAGTCTCCTACCTCTTTAGCAACTAGGTTTTTGATGAGTCCATGAAGGCCCAAAGCATTGATAAGAGAAATATTTAATATTAGTATAAACAGCCCTGAATCAGAATTAGGCACAAATCTATGAAGACAGATCCTAGTAGTAAACAGAGAGTACTGCCTTACCAGGATATACAAGATGAATGATATAGACCTTGCCATAGTTTTGAGTTTGCTGGGTAATACAGCTTTAGTTCTGATGTTCCTAATGTTCCAGAAAAAGGAACAGCCTCCACTTATACCAAAGAGAAATCTTTAGGTAACCAAATAAAGAGTCTCCTGTTGTGTTCTGGTAAAATCTTCAATGAATCCATTTCACCTCCAGAGTATAAAAAAAGAAGAAAGACATTTTGATTTTGAATGATAAATTACAGTTTTCAAATTAGGATTTGTCATGAATTTTGCAATTTGTTCTTCTCAGAGAAAGTTGAAAATTGTACATCTCTAAAACTACTTAATTTTCATCTGACTTACTTGGGCGATCAAAATAGTGTGTGCATCAAAGGAAGGGTTCTCAGAAGAAAATGTAGATTACTTTAGGCTTTTAGTACCCATGGGCATCAGGATGTCATGGCATGAATCTTTGGTGCCTGGAAGGCCAGTTCCTTGGCAGAAGTGTTCCTGTTTCATTAGGAATTTGGAGCACACCTCAGTGTTGCTGGCACTTGTTGAAACAGCACACAATTTGCTAAAGGAAAAAAATGCAAAATAATATTAAAATTTTCCAATGATTCTGGTCTAGGGACAGCTTTGGATAGTAAAAGCACAGATCTGAAAGAACGTTACACATAAAAGGGCTTAAATTGTGATAGGTCTTAAAGATAAAAATTAGAGATAGGTAACAAATCAAATGTTACGTACTAAACTGTAGAGAGCCTCTACAGAAGAACACTGCGTACATTTAATATCTCATTTAAATGTATACGATACAAGAGTGAGATTGGTGGTAGGAGAGGAATGATTCATCTGCTGTTTCCTTACAGGTGAGGATCTAGATACATAGTAGTAAGATTTGAACCTAAGGTCTTAGTCTAAATTATATTTTGTTTTGTGAGACTATAGTATTATAATGCCAATGTCTGTTTTATCGCCCACATGCCATTTATTCTCTACATCCATGTTGGGACTTCAGTGGGCAGAAGACTTTTTCATCTTCTAGCTGTCACTTCTGTTCATCTCAGTTCTGTTGTTTACTAGATAAGCATATGTGAGAAGTTAATTATGTATGATGAGTTGCTGTTAGAATTTTCTGCCACATCCTGCCCTAAGTGTTATGGACTGAAGACATTAAAAGACCCTTTCTCTTTATATTTTTTTTTGTTTTTTTATCTTATATTATTTTATTTACTTTATACCACTCCCTCCCCTCTTCCCAGTCTTCTCCTTCCCTTCCTTCGCCCTTCCCTTCTCCCTTTCCCTCCAGGAAAGGAGAGCCCCTCCCCCCTATATCAACCCTCCCCAACACATCAAGTCACATCAGGACTGATCATATCTTCATTCCCTGAAACCAGACAGGACAGCCCTGCCTGGAAGAGTGATCCAAAAGCAGGCAATAGAGTGCATATTAGAAACAGCTTCTCCCTCCGCTCACCAGGCATCCCATATGAAGACCAAACTGCCCATTGACTACATGTGAACAGGGGCCCTAGGTCCAGACCATGCATGCTCCTTAGTTGATGTCTCAGTCTCTGAAAGCCCACATGTGACTGGGGTAGTTGTCTCTGTTGGTCTTTGTGTAAGGTCCCTGTCCCCTCCAGGTCCTTCCATCTTTCCCCCAACTTCCACAGGACCCCAGAGCTCTGCCTCATGCTTAACTGCAAGTCCCAGCATCTGTCTTGATCTGCTGTTGAATGGAGCCTCCCAGACTATGTCAAGTTAGACACCTGTCTGCAAGCATAGCAGGGCATCATTAATAGTGTCATGGGCTGGCTCTCTACTGTAGGGTGGGTCTCAGGTTGGGCCAACAATTGTTTGAGCTTTCCCTTTATCTCTGTTCTCTCATTGTCCCTGCACTTCTTGTAGACAGGGTTATTTTTGGTTCACAGGTTTTGTCAGAGGGTTGTACTAACTAATTTTGCACTGAAACAGTTAATCTCTGTAGTTGTTTGCCCTGATGTATGTCCACTACTCATAGAAAGTCTTGCTTAGTGGATGCCTTTGTGGTGGCTTCCCAGGCTATATCTTAGGAAATTGACAACTTTCTTGGTTTGAGTACATTTTTACTTCTTCACTGATACTAGTGATCAATTCATCCCTTCTCCATAGGCCCTGCCACCTGGTACACTTCAGCTGATACCAAAGAGGTCAGCCTTTGAAAAGGCCAATGGTGTCACCCCGGTCTTTAATCCAAATGTTTTCCACTGCCAACAGGCTATGGCTAACATGCAGATTCCGCAGCCTGCATATGTCCCTACAGGTGAGAACACAGCTCTGTGAATCTTGAGTTTAACAGTTTGAGTGTGTACACTGCAAAGCATCTTCCAAAGGGCTTTTGTTGGAGGACTATTGCCATGTATTTATACTGCAAGTAAAGTAAAGCAATTGCATTTGATTTTCTATTATCTAGAATAACATATATTATTTTGGAAATGAATGGATTGAAATCAAAATGAGAAAGATATTAATGTTTTCCTTTTTAGTATGTCTTATTATTTTGTGCTTCAGAAGGTTGATTCACTTAGTTTAATCTCAACTAATTCCTTGGCTCTTAGTTATTATTTCACAGATAGTAATTATTTGTCAAAAAGAATTTTCCAACTTTACATAACTATGATAAAACAAAGTAATTTTTAAACTCTTCAATGTACAGTATATTTAAAGCAGGTAGTCTTAGCCTCTACCTCTTGGAAACTATTAAGTAAAAGTAAAGCATTGGAGACATGTGGAGAAAGAGAGAGCTTGTTGAGCTTGTGCAAAGCCACAGATTTAATCCCTACTACTGCCAGAAAGCCTGGAGAATTTTTCTTAAAAAGAAAAAAGCCTTAATAATTGAAGGTACCTAATTGTCTGAGAAAGCATCAGATTGATTTCCAGAGTGGTTGTACAAGTTTACATTCCCACCAGCAACGGAGGAGGGTTCCTCTTTCCCCACATCCTCCCCAGCATGTGTTCTCACTTGAGTTTTTGACCTTAACCATTCTGATGGGAGTAAGGTGAAATCTCAGGATCGTTTTGATTTATATTTCCCTGATAACTAAGAGCACTGAACATTTCTTTAAGTGTTTCTCTGCCATTCAATATTCCTCAATTGAGAATTCTCTGTTTAGTTCTGTACCCCATTTTTTAATTGGATTACTTCATTTGTTGTTTCTTTAACTCAAGATCGAGCTATACCACTCCTAGGGATATATCCAAACTATGGTCAACTATACAAAAGGACATTTACTCAACCATGTTTGTATCAGCTCTATTCGTAATAGCCAGAATCTGGAATCAACCCAGATGTTCCTCAACTGAGGAATGGATACAGAAATTGTGGTACATTTACACATTGGAATATTACCCAGCAATTACAAACAAGGAAATCATGAAATTTTCAGGCAAATGTTGGGAACTAGAAAAGATCATCCTGAGTGAGGTATCCCAGAAGCAGAAAGACACATATGGTATATACTCACTTATAAGTGGATATTACACCTATAATATGGAATACTAAACATATTAAAATCTGTACACCTAAAGAAGCTAAGCAAGAAGGAGGGCTCTGGGTAAGATGATCAATCCTCACTCAGAAAGGCATACTGGATGGACATCAGAAGAGGAGGGGAAACAGGGGACAGGACAGGAGCCTACCACAGAGAGCCTCTGAAAGATTCTACCCAGGATGATATCAAAGCAGGTGTTGAGACTCATAGCCAATCTTTGGGCAGAGTGCAGGGGATCTTATGAAAGAAGACAGAGATAGAAAGACCTAGAGGGGACAGGAGCTCCACAAGGAGAGCAAGAGAACCAAAATATCTGGGCACAGGACTCTTTTCTGAGACTGATACTCCAACCAAGGACAATTCATGGAGATAACCTAGAACGCTTGCACTGATACAGCCCATGGCAGCTCAGTATCCAAGTGGTTCCCTAGTAGTGAGAACGGGAACTGTCTCTGACATGAACTCAGTGGCCGGTTCTTTGATCACCCCCCCTGGAGGGGGGGTGTGCAGCCTTACCAGGCCACAGAGAAAGACAATGCAGGCACTCCTGATGAGACCTGATAGGCTAGGGTCAGAGGGAAGGGAAGGAGGACCTCCCCTATCAGTGGACCTGGGGAGAGGCTTGTTAGGAGATGTGAGAGGGAGGATGGGATGGGGAGGGAATGAGGAATGGTGCTACAACTGGGATACAAAGTGAATAAATTGTAATTAATAAATAAAATTTTTAAAAAATGAACAGGAAAAGGAAAAAAATTGAAGATACCATTTACTTTAAAAATAATTTTTAAGACTTATAAATGACATAAACATGCCTAGATGTATAGTATTGAGTATTTAGACTTAGGGAAAATAAAAAATTGATCAATTAACTAATTTTGAAAGGAGCCATTAAAAACAATAGTATTGCTAGGATCAGATGGAAGGGGAGGAGGACCTCCCCCATTAGTAGACTTAGAGAGGGGCCAGAAGGAGATGAGGTAGGGAGAGTGGGATTGGGAGGGAATGAATGAGGGGGCTACAGCTGGGATACAAAGTAAATAATCTGTAATTAATATTAAAAAAATAATAAAAAAAGAAAAGGAAAAAAAAGAAAAACAAAAAAAATCCTGCTCACTCAGAGCTTAAGGTCCCACTTTACTGCTGCGTCAGTGAGACTTGGGTCCTGAATTCGATAGCTCTTGTAATACAGCTCTCTTGCTATTGCAAAAACAATAGTATTTGCTCACTGACTACAATCATTCACAGGTCACCATGTATAAAACATAGGTATTACACACATATCAGTTTCTGGAGAGGAAAAATTAAGTTTTTGATATATTTCTGTTTCTTAGAAAAAAATGACATGTTTAATGACTTTTATCTTAAAACTAAGGAAAATATATAATGCCACAAAGTAAAAGAGAAAACCCAAATGATGTGAGGTAGTTTTTTCTTTCTTCACCAATCGTGGCAATTTCCATTTATCAGATCATTCCATTTTGGCTACTTTTCAGTTTTTCTCATCACTATGGAATAAATTTGGTAGCCCAAAAGGTCAAGCCAAGGATGGTTGAATGTGGAAAAATTTAAATTGTCCATTCTCGGTTTTCTGTCCAATTTTATAGTGACTGTCTATAGAAGTTAGATATTTGTTTTTTTCAAATTTGGCACATATAAAACCTAGTTTTATTTGGGTATGGTGATGTATGCCTGTAATCCCAACATTCAGGAAGCTGACTCAAGGAGATCTTTTTTGAGTACAGAGACAGCTTGGACTAGCTAAATAGTAAATATAAGGCCATCCTCAAATTTACTTTCTCAAAAATAAAGTATTTAAATGTACAAGAAATTCCCCAAATCCCCTTCCCTGAATTAATAGCAAGACTTATAGCCAACTTAGCTGAGACCCTCACTTAATGGAAAGGCAATTGCCAAATAGACTACTCCTCAGATTCAGTGAAGTACAGGAGACATTGTTAATAGAATAATTTTCTCTAAAAAACATGGCAACAGATTTGAATTCTGGAAAAAAGGATGTGTGGAGTAAACAAAAAAAGTCTCCTTTTATGAATAAACTTTTGCAGTGTATTTGCCTCGAATAAATATATAATTTAAGTGAAGTTATTTCTTTAAAGAAAAAGTAAAGATCTTTTTAAATTTTCATTTGTTTTTTATATTAATTGCAGTTCACTCACTTTGTATCTCAGCTATAGCACCTCCCTCATTCCCTCCTAATCCCTTCTTCCCTCCCTCCCTCATCTCCTCCCATGCCCCTCTCCCAGTCCATTAACAGGGGAAATCCTTCTTCCCTTCCATCTGACCCTAGCCTATCCTGTCTCATCAAGGCTGGCTGCATTCTCTTCCTCTGTGGCTTGGTAAGGCTGCCTCCCCCAACTCATGGGGAGGTGATCAAAGAGCAAGCCACTGAGTTCATGTCAGAGACAGCCCCTGTTCCCCTTACTAGGGAGTAAAAATCTTTTGTAATCTATGAATTACTTTTATTACCTGGGTCTGTGGTCTTAAATTTGACCTGTAATTATAAGCATGGGTGATTACTGGTTTGCATGTGCTAATTAATTGATATTGCAAAAAAATATCTTTCTAGTTAAAATTCACTTCTCTCTATGAAGCCTTAAAATAATGAAATCTCTCTTTTCTTTACTTTCCACGCTTTTCTGCATGGTGTACAGGGACAGTACTGTGCATGCCACCCACTTCAACTTTTGGTAGGTTTTGTACAAAAATTCTAACTTTCTCTAACCTAAAAATGTTTTTCTCCTATGACTGTGAAAACATGAGTGACCAAATGATGTGAGTGGACATTTCCTGGATATTTACATTTTAATATGGTGTTTTCTGGAGTTAAAAATAGACCTATTTCTCGGGTCCTAGTAGGTTGCCACTTTAGCCAAATTCTAGCATTACCATTTTCATTTTTATTCTAAAAATAGAAATATTTTTAAAATGTTTCCTTCCATGGTGAAGCAGGATTTTTTTTCTTGGCCTTGCATCTATTATTTGGAAAATATATTTCCAATGTAAAATTTATTAACTACAGTAAAACAACCCCCTCCCAAAATTATCCTTACAGTATAATGCATTCATTACACAGATGTTGAGAAAGGAAGATTTATTCAAAGCTAGAACATCCTGTAGTGTTCTGTGATGTATTCTATAGCATCCAAGAAGGAAGCATCATCTGCCCAGAAATTAAGCACAACAGAATCATTGAGTAGTTGTGTAATTTTAAACTACCACTCACATCCTCTCAGCCCTTTGGCTAACATCAAGCGGAACAACCAGTTTACACATGAATTCTTTAGATAGCCACCACCATGATATGGTAGCAATGCCTAAGCATTTTGCTTTTCACTAATAGAAAAGAAGATGAGAAAGTCACTGGAGAGGTCACAGTTCCTATAATCTTCACAGGAACCACAGATCGTGAGAAATTAGTTTTATTTAAAGTAGGAAAGAAGGAACACATATTTGCATCTCCTATCAACTCAGTCGCTCTTGTGCTAGAGAATTTGCAGCAGCCTGACCTCCATCCCTCTGATGGACTAAAGATTATGGGGTTATCAAAATAAGAAGGAGACATCAAAATGATGACCACATAGAAGCAACACAAATGCAGCCAGATCTGAACCCTGGCAAAGGGATGAGGCCTGTTATTGAAGGACTAGCTATACCTGTAGGAATTAACAGACCTTAAAATGAACAGGAACATTCTGAGGGTAAGTGAAAAGAACAGACTTCAGCAAGTTTGAGAAACATGTCTCTGTTTTCACATTTTGTGACCTGGTTCTTGAGGCTGCTTCCTTGTCCTTTCCCTTTCAGAGCTCTGCTTGTGAATGCAATTGCATGCTTTGGTACTGCTGCTTCCTGCACAGTTGCTGCACTTCCAATGAGAGAAACATGAGTGTTTTAGCATTAGCACGTGAGACAATGAAAGATGGCTTTAGGAAATAAGTAATCAGGGATGGGTAAAGGGGACAGCTATGGAGTTTCAGTTAATCACTATTTGGGGGACAGTTTTGCTTACTTTGGCATTGGTTTTGGGCATTCACTTTGTCAGTAGACTTTTGGGAATACTGGATTTAACTGAGGTAGACATGACAAATTATCATATGTGTGTGTCTCCCATTCAAACATTAGTTCCCTGGTTAGCTTTCCGAAATAAGCTAGAAATTAGAAAAGCATCCACAAGCTTTGAATATGAAATAGAAAGTATCAAAAGCAAAGGAAAACATCCCAAAAGAGATTTTTCAGGTGCTAGACATTGTAGTTCTAATATTTGCTGTGAAGACAAGATTCACTATAAAGCAGTTGTGTATTTGACAATAACTAAAATTTCCAAGGAACTTACCAAACTGAGTACGCAGCCCATTGTATTCGTCATACCTATTCTAGTACCACATACTTATCAACAGAAGCACATACCTTTTATATATAGGCCAGGTAACTACACATGAAAATGCCATTTGTACCCAAAAATCTAGTAACAGTCTAGTCAGTGAACCCAAACAGCAGTTGACAATTCCCTAATTAGTTTCGACTATGCAACCCAGTGACCTGTCTGCTTAACTAACTTTCATAGGTAGCCCTGGTAACAGAGATTTTTTTCATATGCATTCATTATTTCCTGAAAATTCAGCCTTTTGAATCCATGACAGTGTTCTTTTGCTCAAAGTGTTAAGAATGACTCCGTTTTTCCTCAATGGTAACGATAATTGGCTTTCCCCTTTTCTCTTTTTAAATTTCCCTCCATTCCATGCTGTGCTGCTTTGCACTGATTGCATGCTGCACCCTGGTGTATACGTCATGATGGTGTTCCATGGCTTGTTGCTGGAATATCTACTGTGTCCCATTTCATCGTATCTGTCATGGTTGTGTAAATGCTCCACCCTTCCGTGTGTTGCTTCCATGATTTCCTACTGAAAGTGCCCATGATGCACAGTGCTACACCTTCCACTGTGCCTGCAGCAGCAGCGCCTGCCACCAGCGTTCCCTTCGTTCCAGCAGCTACAGGCAATCAGGTTTGGCCATTTATTTCATCTGTTCGGACCTAGATAACCTTGTGTTGAGAGGGCACAGTATATGCCTTTGGATTGGTGAGAGTTACTGGTCCATATTCTTATGTGTTTTTTTTAACCAGTCGTTAGATTTGAAACGTTTATTTTCATGTGGCATTAGAGTACTGTGTAAGTGGTTTTCTATTCATCTCAGAGTTAATTGGCAGCATTTTACTTATTGTTAATTAGTAAACAGATGTTACTTTTGTTATTCCATGTCAAATTATTACTACTACACCAATCTTCAAATGTATATGCTGTTCTAGATATGTCTTAAAATGCTTTCTCATTCTGATCAAGAGGAAAACTTACGTTCCTACCCACTCCTCTTTTGTGTTTGAGATTTGATTTAGTAAGCATATCACCTTTCCTTGCAGTTCCACTGGAAAGAAAGCATGCTATCACATTTCTTTCCAAGGGATGCTTATCTTTATCATCACCTGGTGATAATGTCAGAAATCCCTTCTCATGAAGACATAAGATGTGCTTGTGTTGTTTTGATTTTCATTTGGTTCACATTTTTTTTTCATGCAGAGTCACATACAAATGACCAATATTTAAGAAATCTTGTAGTTGTGAGGCAATTAGTACAGTAGCTCCCGAATACTGTGGTGCCAGTTCTGCCTCATTAAAGTAAATGACTTGCCCCCACCCCCCAGGCTGCTGCTTCAATTTCAAGCATGATAGCCATGAAGCACACAGAATTCACTTGGTGCATAAGCCACACGCCAACCTGTGTTCTGCAAAGTTGACATGGTGGAAATAGAAAATATACTTACACTTTTCTGTGAAACTGATCATCATTGTTGACATGCCAAACTCAAGCAGTGAACAAAATAAATGGGATTCTCCTAAGAAACGATCTTAATCTAAAATCTTTTTTACTACTATAGATGCCCCAATTATCAGTAGATGAACTGAATAGGAGCATGTTTGTTTCACAGATGTAGAAGTTACCAGTAGAACAGTAAGTTTCTTTAAGTATTAATGGATGATATTCATAGGTTGTATCTTTTCTTTATTCACTTGTTAAAGTTTATTTGTTAAGGTTTGATAAACATTTTCTCTTAGAAACATTGCATAGAACTTGAGTTTGACTGTGCATTCAAAAGTTTCCAAATGGAAACTGAAATGTGAGAGAGATGATTTTTTGCATCTGGAGATGACAGCTATAACTACTTTGCTAATTAGTTTATACACTCAAGAATGTTTTTCTATTTCAAAGTAGCAAGATATTTTAGCCAAAAACACGAATCAAATTTGAATTTTATATTCTTTAAGCTTTTTTGTTTAGTTCAGTTTTTTTTTTCCAAGACAAGATTTCTCTGTGTAGCCCTGGCTGTCCTAGAACTCACTCTGTAGACCAGGCTGCCCTCAAAACTGCCTTAAAAACAAAGTAATTTTGTCAAAATGTGGCTGATATGATTATCTTAAAGACAGTGTGTTTAATGTTTTTTTTTCCCTGAGTCAGTATAGAAAGCTATGCTCTTTCTATATGTTGCATTATGTTGCTTTCCATGTAAGCCAAGTAGCTTTGCTCCAGATGTTTTGAAGTATGAATGACATACAAAATTATTTTTATTTTTTTCCACTCTTAACCCCTGACATCTACTTGACCTGATTCAGGGACCCATTAGTAGCACACACTGAAATTTAATCAATCATTCACATTAACCTTATATATTGAAGATACTTCAGAATCCTAGACACCTAATAAGAGAATATGCTTTGGAATACATTATCAGTGTAGAAAACTTGAGGGCCTCCCACCTGAAGTCTGGCATTTGGTTGAAGGAGGCAATTGATATGCCTGCTGCAGGCTTAGTTCCCCTTTTCCCAGGTCCCTAAAACTGTTTCAGACAAAGTCCATAGCCATTGTACACTAGAAGAGAAGGTCCCCACCCCACCCCCAATCATAAGGAATGATTTTCAAAAAGGCAAGAAAAAAAACTGAAGGAACTTGAAGTTAGAATTCTTTTACACGTGTTATTTGGAATAGTAGCAACTTGTGAAAGCCCTAGACATAACAATGGTGGTTTGTCCAATGCTTGCTCAGTTCTCATAGGACACTGCACATCAAGGTAAAGATAATTCAAACATAATTAGTTTACATAAAATATGTTTGGGAAGATTTTTTTCTACTTGATTCTTTTACAAAATGAGGTATTTGACAAAGTATAATTACTTTCACATGTAATAGATGTTCGGATTTTCTCTAAATATAAAAAAATGTCACTTTGTATAATAGTGTATAACTTAGGATATTTCTGCAAGGGTGTAAGATATTGAGATAAAAGTTTAGTATTGTTTTAGTATTCGTTTAGTATATCTTTTCAAAGTGTGTGCTATTAAGTATATTTTGGGGGAGTACATGTCTCTTGAATGAGGTAAACTTATATGTCTGTTCAGTGAGTGTTTGTGTAAGCCCACTGCCACAGTCTGTTGAGTGAGTGTGTTAGACCATTGTCATAGAGGATCTGAAATTCAGAATGAGCACTAACTTGGTTTAGTTAATTTATCGAACTGTGATAAGAACTAGTCTTCTGACATCTTGTTCAATAACCCTTCAGTGTTTCTTACTGACTCTCTTGTTTTGTTTTCTATTTCAGTTGAAATTCTGAGCAGCAGAGGTACAGAATATCAGGATCTCTCAACAAGAAACTCAACATGGCCTTTCTATATATATTCTCATATGTCCTTTTCTACCAACAGAACAATAAGCATGGTGCAGTCAATATATTAAAGCACATATACCAGTTGACAAATTCAAATTTTAAAAATCTGTGGAGATGTTAAAGCAAAGAGAAAATTAACCACTATATGTTATCTTATCTGGATTAATTGCATATGATTTAGCATATAGAATACAAGCTTTGTCGTGTATATGAATTGTCAAATCCATGTTATATGAATTTGCCATCTGATATGAATTACCATATTGAATATAACCATAAAAATTTGTGATTTTCTTCCAGTAATGATTTATGCTAAATGAATTCCCACAGTGTACTGTAGGCTCACTGTACATTCTTGGTGGATAAATTCTGGTTTTGAAGTATTACTTTACTGTTTTGTTTACAGGATAGTCTATTGGATTGATATAGAATGTAACTAATATTTCCAGTACCATTTCCTCCATTGGTATATTGTATTAAATTGGGCTCTGTTTTGCTTTTCCATGCTATAGTGTTTTGTTGTTTATACATGGTGTTTGATTTTAATTAGAATGTCATAAGTGGGGAACAGAAGTGTATGTGATTGAAAAACATAATAGGTTCATGTTAATATGCTTTAAAACATTCTGTAAGTTTCATGAGGCATACATTTAAAAGGCCTCACTTTTGAATGTGCACAGAAGTGTTCATAGATATGTATGTATAGAATCTTACCTGTAGATCTGGCCTTGCACAGTCAATAATATACTAAATTTTTAAAAGAGAAAACAATTGCCTACATATGATAGGAAAGTTCAAATGTTAACCTCAAACTGTCCTCTTAAATAACTTGAAAAGTATTCACATTTTAATAAATTTCTTAGTACTTATAAAGATTAAGTAGAGTAGCCATTACATTTATTGTGTCACAGGAATCCTATCTCTCAGCTTGAGTGTCTAAAATTGTCATTTGGCATCTTCAGCTGAGAGAAACTGGTACTTACTAGTTTAAATGTATGCTAATCATAGGTTATAAATGAAGCGGAGAGATGTGGGTGTGGAGACAGTTTTTAATGTACTGGCACAAAGTGTGTAAAACCTTCACATAGTAACCTTTGCACAAGTGCCATTTTCCAAATGCAAATGGCTCATGCTCTTTAAACTCTTCTTTGAATAATAAATAAGATGCAGCCTGGCAAAAGTCAATCCAGGTGGAAAGAGAATTGTTTCCAAATGAGGCCTTACCTCCCCAAATGGACAGTCGTTTTTATTGATCACAGAAGGAGGCTGAGTACAGCTTTGGGCAAATGGCAGGGATGGGGGCAGGGAGACATTTAAAATGACTTTGAATATGCAAAAAGAACTAGAAAGGATTTCCACCTTTGTCTTTCATGTTAGTTTAGCTGAATTGCCAATATTTCTAAAAGCAGTAGTAAAGTAGCAAGCATTTGTGCTATATTGGCAAGTGTTTCTCTGCCCAAACTTTAGCATCAGAGATTTTGTGTGTGTGTGTGTGTGTGTGTGTGTGTGTGTTTGCTTGTTTTTGTCTCAGAACCAAACCTATTTTTGTCATATTTGAACTTATTTTGTGTGTTTCAAATTGTAGTCAGTTTTAGAATCCTTTGGTTAATAGAAAATAGCAATATCCCATGGAGGTGTGGTATGAATTCTTCTTACTAATACTTATGAAATAATCCTACAAATACAGTAATCCATCTATTTCTGTGACATATCGTGTACCTCTTCCACTCTACAGAGTTATTAACATTACTATTCTTATAAGAGGGAGGAAACATTGTCTAACAGCTTAAGTAGATTTAATATTTTGTACTCAATATGTATTCTCCCACTGGAAAGTATAAAAATCATCAAATTTTTGTATGTATAAAGGTTGTTTTTCAACGTCAAAACCAAAGAAAAAAACATTTGCGATACCACAAGACAGGTAGTTGGATTGATATGCAGAATAGTGGAGTTGGAAAAGACTTTATTACCTTTTCCATGGTTTTAAAAACAGAGGGTAAGGCCATGGGACTTGTGTAAGGCTACCTAGCCATTGTGGGAATCAATTGTTTCTCCTTTTTACATTTTGCTTTGGAACATTTGAGACTCCAACTTAAAGCATGTCAGATTGGCAAAAAAAGCAAAATTACCTCTAGTTGTTGGTATCTATTTGATCTTAATTATCTAGGTGAATCCTGGTCACCAGTGATTTCTATAGTCTCTTTTTTTGTTATGTTGGGCCTCTGCCCTCTATTGCCTGAAGTTAGAGATTGAAACTTGTCTATCCTTTTACCTGTAAGGTCTTTGAATCACTTAATTTTTGTTTTCCAAAAATCATAATTCCAAAAAAAATTTACTTGGGCTAGTCTAGATATAGTTCTTAATGGATGTGGGAATGTTTTGTGCAAAATGAACTTTTTGTAGTTTGACATTCTGATGCAACAAAATATCTCATTTAACTTCTTAAACTTTTGACAAAGATATATGTAAATGATAAACTTAGAGTAGAGCTGTTCTCATGTTGCTCTAAGCACTGGAAGATATTAACGTTGACTTATTTTTAGGAGGAGATTCAGCGAGGAGCATTCAGGGTAGTTGTCTTTTTGGTGAGATGAGTTTCTGTAACATACTGTTGGCATTTTAAAAGTTGCTAGGTATGTGAAGTTTAAGAAAGCAAGCTTAAAACTTGAAATTTCTGATCAAAGTTAACGGAGTTTAGAGGGAGATGAAACTTTAAGATAGCACTCTTTAGTTGTGCAATGACTGATGATCTTATTGAAGAAAAGACAAGTCATTTGACTATAAATTGAGTTAACAAGGCCAGTCACAATGATCAGTGACTCTAAACAAAAATTAACTGAATCATTTGTAAATAAGCCAAATTCTAATCAGTTGTGATTTTTGGTTAGCATTTTGCAGTCTTTGTATTTTACAGTGACCTCTATCTTTACTTCTCCAAAATTATTAATTTTGTCCATCTTTTCAGCATTTTGCCAAAATTTGCAAGAACGCTGAACTTGGATAAAACATGTCAAATGAGATAAGCAACCTACACTTGTTCTTTAAGAAGAGCTTAGTAGTTTCAGTTCTTACAAAAAGCACTATGAAACCATATGAGTATATTTTAAATAGGGACTAAGATTAAATTAAAAATGGATTCATAAATTGCTATTTAAATATAGTATATACTTTTGAAACTGTATGAATCCACACCCAGCTGTTCCTTTTGATTTCACTTCTCTAGCTTAATCTTTCATTTTCATCTAGTCATGAAAGTAATCTGCTTCCTACACCATCAGTCTTGCTCATCCATTTCTGAGCATTGTAAAGCACTTTGATCTTGCCAGAGGTGTTGTGCTATACCACTAGGCTTTGTCCACTGATGGGAGCCCTCAACTCCCCTGATCTGCACCTCAGGAAAAAAACCAATACCGCTCTCAGCTCTCAGAAGGAACCAAATGAAATTAGTGTTTTCTACTTGAATTAACTTTGAACAGCATGACCAGTGAGACAGTGATGTGTGAGGGAGGGACAGGATCTACAGTGCATTGTAGGAAATGATCGAGGCGGCGGAGGCACCTTATTCGATACTTGGAGTGCCAGTTGGTTCTTTTCCTTGTCTTTGGTCAGTGTTGTTGAGGATGCCCTTAGGTGAAATGCAGCCCAAGTTTGCTAAGATCTGTCAGTCTGTGGGATAGGCTATGGTATGCAGAATGCTTAGTAACTGTAGTTCTTTTCCCCCCTTTCTAAAAGCTCTTCTAAAACTAGGTGAGTGGGGAGAGGGAATCTTATTTGATTTGATTCATTTGATGGATTTTATTCCCAGTTTTGGTTTGTAGATTTAATAAGATAGTGACCTAGTTTTACCAGTGCCTGTCAGAGGTAACAGAATAAAATAGCAGATAAGAGAGTTTAATTTTTCTTTGCAAGTTTAGCAACTAGTGTAATCAAACTGTACATTTAATTACAAATACAGGCACTGAGTACCAAGTCATTAATTGGTGCCCTGTTTGCATTTTTCTTATTGTTAGTTTTTAAGGTTTTTATTTTGTACTACATTTTTATATCTAAGTAACTAATGAATTTAATTTTGAAGGAGAGTTAGAGAAAGTTTAAGTTTTTACTACATATATTCAGACCATCTCTGTAGGCTCTAAACTGACACTGTAGCATAACACAGGATAGATTACAGTCCATAACCACACTCTACAATTCAAAGTTTAAGAACAGATTTAGCTTTGTACACAAATAATTGTTGTCAGCTAAATATATTTAGTTGTTGCTTTGGCAACAAAACTTACAACATGGCTACCTTTAGACATGTATGCATGTAAAACTTTTATTTGTAAGCTATACATGGTTCATGACAATGTGAACATAGAGAAGATACAGCTCAAAACTCAGAAAATTGATGATGTTTTGAAGCTCCATGTTCCATGTAAAATTTTACTTTGTTTCCTCATGTAGCTTTTTGTTCAACACATGGATTCTGGAGGCACACTTTATACTTTATAGAATTGGTTGTGTTGATAGGGTTATTCTACAGTATTTTGACACCAGAACATACACAGCATAGATATTACCTGGCATTTATTTTTCACTTCTTTACTCAAAAATTATCTATTCATGTAGTGTCTGTAGCTATAAAAAGTTTCTGTTTTCTGGAATCGTATACAAAAATATATGTGAGGATTAAAGCATAACTAAACATTTGAAATTAACTGGTATTTGTGAAGCCACACATAAAGATACTATAGAATGACCCCAAGCAGTGTTTAAGAGGCATATGCTGCAGCTACCCGACTGCCTCAGTTAGGGTGCGAATGTGTGAGACACACCTTTTTTGCACTTATGTACATAGTCCATGGAAGTAATCCTTGGAGCTTTTTACAATATAAGAAGTCTGGTAATAGCGGAAAGTTAGTGAGAGTGGTTTCTGAGGGTCTAAGATTAGTGAAAGCATAGTGTTGCAATGCTGTTGTGGAGGCTTGCTAGCTTGCTACAGCTCATCAGAAGCTCAGACTGCTAACAGATGCCAAATCCCCCTAACAGCACTGAGTAGGAGTACAAAGCACTTCTTTTAGTAATGCTACTAGCAAAGAATATTTGCTTTTTGAATGAATTCCCACTGTAAACACACACACACACACACACACACACACACACACACACACATACACACATACACACAATGGGTAAAATTCCCAGCAGAGGCTTTCTTTGATTATAGAAAGCAGAGCAAATACTCTGTACATTACTAAATATTTACTCTCAATCTGATTAAAAAAGATTTCATCTTTGATAGATAATACACATATTGATTAACATGGATTTATGTGACAAATTGTTAAGGTTTTAACAGAAGAGAACCAGCCCAAATCTTACATAACGTGGATGCTGGAAGATCTTAATTTAACCCAGTTTTCACTCCACACTTGCAGATAGCCAAGGAACTTTTTTGCTGCCCCCAAAACAACTGAGGCTTAGCAAAGTTGGCAGTTTGTAAGGTTAGAGGATGGATCATTCCTGGCAATTTGAGTCCTTCCCATCTTAAGGCAGGTTTTCTTCACACTGGAGAAGGACCCCATCCTAGGCTAAAGGAAGTTGTGAAATGTTGCTATCCATATACTGCTAACCCTCTTGGTGACAGAAACCTAGAACTGCAGCCATAGCTCAGTGAGTGGTACAGCACTTACCTGGATGAATGAGGCCCTGGACTCCATCCTCAGCACTGAAAAAAGAAAAAAAGGGAAAGATGGAAAACAGACCAAAGCCAGAAGCAACCCAAGCCTTACTTGTATCCCATAGCTCAGGGCTAGCTGGCTAGAAATTACTTTTATTTTCCCCTCAGCTGCTGATCGCTTGAGAGTCAGCCATGCAACAAGCCCCATGACAATCAGAACAGCCATCTTTTTTGGCCGATAGAAAATGTTCACCTACATTCATTTTATACTTAGGAACGCCCACTTCAGCCTTTTTACCCCCATAGTTTCACTATTTAACCAGTGTCTTCACATGGGCATTCCCTTGTGAATCTGTAAGTCATAAAAATGTGTTTTCATGAGGACAAGAGAAACATGAAATTCTGTGTGTGGCACTGGGAATACAACCCAGGGCTTTGTGTGCTATACAAGTTCTCTAACAACATGTCTAGCCAGCAATAAGATTTTAAGTCTGAACTATCAACCACAAATAAGTAGGGATGAGCATGAAAGTATCACAAAATATAGCCAATGAATTTGTAGCATGCCCATCTTCAGAGCCACTTGGTCATGTGCAGAAGCTTAAACATGTGGCTGTGTTTAAATCAGTAAAACATAGTAGAGGATTAAGCATAGCAAGTACAAATGACTCAAGCCAAAAGATTAATTGGGATTAAGTTTGACTAATTCAGAAATTTGAGTTCCTCTGCCTGTCCTTGTCTGTAAGTGAAGTTCACTGACATTAAAAATGTGGATTATCCCACAGAAATTTTATGTTTTCTAGAACCCTTCCTCAATTATAGTGTACCTAAAAATGAAAAGTGCTTTGGTCTGAAATAAGTTGC